GAGTTGCTGGTAGAGGCGGGACGTAAACAGAGTTGCTGGTAGAGGCGGGACGTAAACAGCTTCCTTGACGTAACCCCATAATAAATAGTCAGATGGGGTGATCATTACCCCATCAATAGTCATCAGGTGATCTCGGTGACCAGACGTGTAGAGCCCGAGTTTCGATTCTTATGCGTCCAATAAAACTTCCTGTAACTATCTACATTTTGCAACTATAGCGCCGCCACCACCGCCGCCCAATTCCGCTGTTGAATAAGTTAAAAAAATTAAATCTTTGTCATTGGGGTACAATTGAATTATTATTTAGGTATAAAATTCATACCTGAATACATACGAATTTTTAAATTGGGTCCATCATTTAGAGTTTAGACTAACCCTGTACAATGCTTGAGAATCCCTGAACGCAAACTACGCAACTTAGATATAATGGCTCGAGATGCATAGGAAACAGTTCAGAATTAGTGGCAGCACACAATACAATCTGTCTCTTATACACATCTAGATGTGTATAAGAGACATCATCATTATTATTATGAGCGGTAAGTTATTGGAGGAGTTAATGATGCAGGTGACGGTCCGCGTGTATTGCCGAACGGAATACAGAAATGCACCTAAATGTGTCATGTCAACTAACAACTGATTGAAAATGTTTAGGCACCTCAAAAAGTATTGCTTGGTGCAATCTGAAATTCCTTAATTAGGACAATATATGAACGCTAATTTAATGTCTGGGTTAAATCAAGGTTAAATAATTCACCTGTCTGGAGGTTTAATAATCAACGCAAGGGTATAGTTTATGATTTTCATGATATTTTGTCGTTATCTCATTTAATTTTCATGATATATTTAACAAAGTTCAACAAAACAAGTTCGTAAACCAAATTATGAGTATTCAGGAAAAGTCGTCAAATATTGGAATTCCTAAATAACTTAATCTAGCGGTTTTGCAAAAGTGCTTTATATTCTTGGTAACACTTCCGACGACGAAGCATTGAAAGTTAACATGGTCCTTAAAAAACCTCCAAAGTATGGATCAAGACGACTTCTTTGGATTTGACGCTACTCCATTGGTAACTTATTGCTTATGAAATGTGATATTTGGTTAATCAAGTGTCATTCGTGGTGAAAGGAACTTAACTCATTAAAATCGTTGTGGAGTGAGGACTGAGGATTCTCATTCGTCAGTCTTAACAGAGAGAATTTACCTAGTTTAGCTACTCAACGTAGCCCTACCTAGCTAGAGCCTAGACAAGGCACAAACCAACTTGCAGTAGATGAGTAGAAGAAAACCTAAACTTATTTTCATGTTATGATGCATGTTTTTTGTATGGCGATTTAGTAGTTGTTAGTTAGTACTCTTAGTAGGTATGTGCACAAAAAAAAATTTTTCCTTTGATTGTAATGAAAATTACACCACTGAAAAGAGAAACAAATTTAGAAAAATATCATATAAGTATGAGTGAAGTAGGTCGAAAAATGAAAAAGATATGAATTTTTTTCCTATTTTCAATTTCACCCCAAAAATGGACCAACTTCTGTCACTTTTTTTGGGAAAAACTATCATTTGTAGGTTTCCTATGAGCCAATTTCAAAGTTTTTAGTACCATTGGAAAGCTCATGTTGTAGGCTATTCTAACTAGAATAAAACATTTTGGTTGAGACTTTGACTGCAGGTGGGTGGGGGAAATGGGTGCAACTGCTAGATATGAATGCTATACAGGCTGGCATAGTGGCAAAGAAGAGAGTTTTTTAGACTCTCCCTCAAGTTCATTTTTGAGTCCTATAAGTAGACCAGTAAAGTATCATGGATACCAGCATTATCATACTCAAAAAATTGGTTTAAATCTTGAGTAAATGAGGAAATTAAAAATGAACTGATTCTAAAAAATCTCTGGTTTGTCACTATGATTATCATACTTAAGAAATTGGTTTAAATCTTGAGTAAATGAGGAAATTAAAAATGAACTGATTCTAAAAAATCTCTGGTTTGCCACTATGCAGGCTGGAATTCTAAAATTCGTGGTTCACATAAAAAAAAGCGTTCCGCCTTGTCCCTACCAAGAAATATCGAATTTCGCAATATTCGAATGGTGTTGTATATAGGGATAAAATAAATTACCACATTATTGAATAATCCTAAAGAACCATATCCATGATATATTAGATCTGACCCAACACCTTTTTGACTTGTGAATTTTTTGCCCCCAATTGTCCGTGATACTAATAAAATTCAGAGCAAGGAAAAGCCAGGGTGCGACAGTTACAACAGCGCTGTGGCTCCAGTGGAAGGCAGATTTTTTGGATGTAAGGACGGAACTGGATCCTACTGTTGCTATGGAGAACGTGAGCCTGTGTTTGTGGCAAGCTCGTGATGTTCCTTTTGGATACCTTTTCCAAGTGATTTCCCTGGCCCTGTGGACCGACGTCTAATGACTCCATAATCTAAACCTGCATCAGCCGCCCCGGGATGATGGACCTCTCTACGAGCACTCAGCTGGACCTAACTTACCATGGAGGCCAAGTCTTTATTCAGTACACTGTAAGTCCGGCAATGACGGAGCGTGATTCATTGTCAAGGATGGTGTTGGGTTAAAGATCTAATAGCCGCTTCATGGCCTGATTTATAATAAAAATGTAGGGCCAACTGATCTAATCTTATGTTGTCAATAGAGCAAATGATATGAAAAGATTTTTATAAATTGATCCAAATGATGTATAATTGAATAAGTGATCGATAACTAATCCCAGATTGATTAAATGATTGTTAAACTCGCTAATTGATCTCAGAGAAACCAATGACAAATTCCAAGTACGTACAACGATTGAGAAATTAATCTCTCCTTGGTATATCAATGTCATCCTCACTATCTACTTAATAGATGCCGCATGATGACGTACACATGACGTCATCCAGCTCAAGTTTTCTGCTGGCCCTTCATTGAACGAAACAATGGCGGAATCACGCAATCTTTATTACTTCCTGCACACGGTTGATCGGATAAAAAAGATCACCATATGCGCAACTTCAGTTCTGATTGCTTTACGTCACTCTCAAAACACCACACAGAGTCTCAGTCCACACTATGTGCCAGCAACGATGAAATATCACAAACTGTTGTCATATTTATTGAAAAGCCTTTAGAATTCAAATCTACAAAATCCCTGAAATCTGAATTCCGGTGCTGTGTGTGACTAAATTCGGCATATTGTGAGACTAATTCCGACAGCGCTTCAAACTTTTACTGATTCGTAATTCTGACTCACTGTGTTACAATTCCGACGCACTGTGTTGGAATTCCGACGCCCTATGTGAGCTGTATCAGAATACGACACAGCTCGGGAATGAGCTTAATTAAAAAATTTTCATTTTTTATTAGGCTTTTAATTAAGAGCTATTAAGCTTTTAATTAAGAACATTTTCATTTTTGAACACTGCTTGGAAGGAGCTGTGTGTGTACAATTCTAAGCGGTGTTGGAATTAGTTTTTATGTGTCTAAAACTGCCTCTTAAATCAATCATCTATTAATTTATTTACCACTTAAAATCAGCAAATACAAGTATACTTAAAGGATTCCTAATATATTCACAGACTTATTTAGAAGTCTCAAACCATTATATTCTTTCTACACAAACAGTTTATCACTATTTAGTAAAGCAAGGTCAACTGTCAACTTTTATACGTGTTTTGATGTTCTCACTAGTTGACTTGCACTATCGCTCTGTGGATCTTAACATTTTCCTGCTAGACCTAGTGTTTTGCAGTAATCTGGCGTGCAATAGTATGACGTCAGTATTTCAACCATCTACGCATGCGTGGATCTAAGACCAAGCTTAATGTAAAGGAAAAAGTTGAGGGGTGTTGGAGTTACCCACAGTGTTGGAATATGGTGCATTTACCCTATTTTTTCATCTTGCCCAATTTTCTGGAATGGATTTCAATGTTTTCAGGAAGGTTTAAATTAAAATCCATTTTTTTGCTAAATTTATTTTTGGCAATCAGGATGGAATTCTAAGATTATGGTTCACTTAAAATAAAGCTTTCTGACTTGAAAAAATATGTTCCTGAGCCCAGGCAACTAGGAACAGGTTTGCAGGCTGTCAGAAATTGGCTTTGGCATGAACGTTAAGTCAGGCAACACAGAGAAGCCAGGGTGCAAGTAGCATTGCCAAGATATGGTTTTTTAGCCCAAAGCGTCGCCGGCCATTTTCAAGATGATTAATAGACAGTTTTCCATGTATTTCTGAGTGAATGTACATTGTGAAGATGTTATTCTTTGCAATTTCCATCGATAATGACATTACATTATTGTATTACGCACTCAAAATAAGAAGTGGACGAACATATTCAAGCGTGTTGTGTACTTCAATGAGGTGGTGTCATTATTTAATTGCCTCTAACTCTCAGTTTCTAAATGATATCCCTTTAATTTCTTTTCCAATTGCTGTCCCTTCAATTAAAATTTTCAGGATCTTTGTTTGCAATTATATAGTCATTGCAAGAATTGCTGGTGTTTATAATTGAAGTAGCATTAAATTATCATCAGTTCTTTAATATTGTCTGCATTTGTGGGTGGTCCGTTCTAGCTTTCAAATGCTGATTGGATTCCAGGGGCTGTGATGTTGCACACATTCTGATACTTGTGACTGATGTCACTTGCGTTCAAGTGTTAATTGGATACTTGTTACTGTGATAATGAAAGAGCATTTTTTTCCAATGAAACAGCTGTGGCAGCTTGCAGAGACTCATCAGTGATGGACTGAAAGTAGAGGTATGCTGGCCTTTCCAGATTTTGAGGTCCTGCTTTCCGATTTGCTATGTTATTATATTACCCTACCAGTTAATATATTACCCCTCTGAAATTCCACACTGTTGGCAATCCTGTTCATAAATTATTTGTATATCCTTTCAATTTCAAATTCAGAATTTATTAGTTGGTGATTTATGCTTGTTCAACATGGTTATGTAATGGCCAATTTGGAATGCCAAGCTAAGTCCTAAAATTGCAGGTGAAACTGATTGTTTCATGTGTGATATTAAACAATTAAAGTGCAAATAGGCTGTTTTTCCATTATTTACTGTAGAAAATTGGGAATGGGAAAGCCCATAAACATGAGTGGATAAAATTGGCCAGAATCACTTGCTTCTTTGTCCAATTCAATTTCCACTTAGTAATAAGAACAATCTAATTTACCATTTAATTTTTAGTAAAATGTAATTAACAATAAGTTTTGTATAACATGAATCCAACAGTTGGTTCAACATTCTGCCTAGCATTTTTTACAAATCCACCATGCATATCAAGACCAAGTAAATATTTACAGGAGTTAATCAAGTTAATTTGGCTTGCAGATTTAGATTTGGATATGGGACATGGTAACTGAAATGGGACATTGCAGAGTCAGGCCTTTACAATGGCCATCAGCCATGCATTGCATATTCATATTGTTAATAGGCATGAGAAAAGGAGACCAAGCCAGGTAGAAGCAACATTAAAGTAGAGGCTAGGCAGCTGTGTGAAAGTTTGTGTTAAGGAGAGCTTTGGGGTCTTTTTGTAACTAAGTTATATACAGACAGATCACTTCGAAATTTGGTACACATATGTAAAACAGAAATATAAGACTTTTTTGTCATGTGAATTTTCCAAAAAAAATTAAAGAAAGTATATGGGAACTTAGAAATTGGCCAAAAAAGGGGGTAGTGTAGAAATCTATCTCTTCCTAGTTATTTTCAAACCACAATGTTGAGACACAACATTTGATGTGTAAAGACCATATCTATAAAATGTTGGTGTTTTTTTTATTTTTATTTTTGTGGGTGTGGGGGCATTTTTAGGAAAATTTTTCTATTTTACCCCTCGCCACACCCCTTTTTTGCAGAATAAAATTCAAACTATATCAAAATTATAAAAATGCCAACATCACTTTGTAGATATTTTTTTTGCAAATGGAATGGTATAGGTCTCATTGTTGTAGCTTCAAAACTGTAGGAGGAGATAGGTTTGCTGTGAGAGCAGTAGGAGCCTAGGAGGTTTACAGGAGAGCTGATAAACCGCCAGCTGGCGGCACGTGTGCTATGTAAAGGCATATAACATAGCTTGGATACCAAAGGTAAGTGTTATTTCACTCTGAAGTTGCTCAGCAATGCAGAGAATGACTACATGTACACCTTCCACCATGACAGCTCTTGGCTGACTGAGCTACAAGGCCACAGACTGCACATTTATAGTGCCCAAATGGAATTATTCTAATTAATAGGATTTTGTTAAGGGGCTCCACCACCCCCACCCTTTTGGGATCTGTTATGAATGCATAAATCAACGTATAGAGATAGTTCTAGTAACATTTGATGCAGCAGAATGTAAGCTTTAAGATGAGCCTAAAAAGTAGAAAAGTTGATATTGTTGATTTTGGACCCCAATGCTGCTCTTAAAATCTATTTTCTATATTTAGGGAAGGATCGTCTCCAAACTTGGTACACATATGTAAGACAGAATTCTAGGACTTTTTTGTTCGTGTGAATTTAAAAAAAAAAATTAAAGAAAATGTGAAATTCATAGAAAACAGCCAAGAAGGGGGGTACTCAAAAAAGTTGTAACTGTTGCAAATCACATGCTACAACACCGAGACACGTATCATTCGATGCGTAAAGACCATATCTAGCGATTCTCAGGCCATTTTTTTCTTGGTTCTCTTTTTATGATAATTTTTCTGAAAAATTTAAAAATTTTCAAAATTTATCAATTTATGGTGAGTGAAGCTAGAGTATAGACCTGTATTTTGCATGCTTCAATTCAAGTTTAATTTAGCTAGTAAAAAATGGCATCATTTATAAAGAAAGTGGTCGAAGTTACCCCATTTTACGGTATAGTAACTGGAGAATGTCATAATTGGCTGCTTTATGTCAGACGATTTACTTTGTAGTGAACGGCCATGTAATTACTCCCTTGACTTCACTGAAGGGGCTGGACACCCGCTCCCCTTTTGGGATCTGTAGTGAATGCATAAATCAACATACAGAGATGGTTTTGGCACTGTTGGATAGGTCAGAATGTCAGCTTTAAGATGAGACTAAAACTGGAAAAGCCAAAATCCAAAATTTTGACGTGTACGGTCCTCTTAAGGGTGAGATGAGATGAAGAAAAAACATGGGAAAGAGAAAACTTTATTTGGTTTATTATTGCTATGTCTTATTTTTGTTCTCTGTATAGTTTTCTACCATATTGGCTATGGGACCTCTTAGGCCCTGAACGACTATTTGTGTTCTAATAAAATATTATTGATGCAGTTATTCTTATTTTATTTAAGCTTTTTTTCCTTGCATTCTCCGGCCTCCACTCGTGCCAACCTCCTCCTCTCCCTTATTCTCCATGCACTCTCCAAAAATCATTTCCCACTCTGCCATAGCAGCAGTCACCCCTGTTGACAGACCCACTATCATTGTAATCCACTTGTCTCCCATTCGCTCATACATCACACCATAACCCTCGTCTCTCACATCCAGTATTACTCTCATAATTTCCAGTCTCTCTTTCATGTGCATCACACTCCATCATCAGATGCTCCACAGTTTCCCTCTCCCCTCTGTCACACATAAAACAAATATCCTCTCTTCTTTCATTCCACCTGTATGTCCGTGCGGCATGCATTCACACTCAAAGCATTTTCTCTCACACAGAACATTAGGTCTCCACCTCTACTTCCATCATATATGTACTCATACTTTGGCATCTCTTTAATCTTGTACAATCTCAGGCTGTCCTTTCTTTCCATTCCTTGCTTCCAAACTCTTGAACCACATGATTTCACTCTCTTTTCTATTTCTTTCTTCCATTTATTATCCCATATGATCCCTGTTGCACCCTGTACTGTTATCATCCATTCCTCTTTTGGTCTATTGTTCCCAGGGCAAGCCCATGCTTCATGTAACTCAAACTTTTGTTCAATTGCATGAAACTTATGTTCTCATTTTCTCACTCTCAAGTTCCTCAGGTACATCTTGCGTGCCCACCTTCATCTGTTCTTTCCAGTCATACTTTATATCTCAATGCTGCTTTCATTCTTCTCTCTCTAAATGTAATCCACTCCATATCTCCTCTTAAAACCTCCACCACAGTTCATCTGGGTTCAGTCAAGCTATTCTATTCTGTTCAACCTCCAATTTATCCAATTTGCAGTCATTCCGCACAATGACATCCATTCCATACTTCTCTCAGAACATCATATTTACTTGCCCTCACTCTTGCTGCCCTGCCGAGAATTCCTAACCACTGATTTGCTTTACTAAGACTCAACGCTATGGTTCTCTTGCATCCAATTTGGTCAACACTCATTCCTAAGTATCTGTACTTGTTTGTCATCCCAATCACATTCATTCATTCCTCCCAGCTGCCACACACTATCCACATCCTCAGCTGTTCCATTCACATCTAACACCTGACTCTTCCCTGGGCTAAAGCACACATTGAAATCCTTGCCATACTCAGTTATAAATTAAGCATACTCTGAAATTCAACCCAAATATAAGCCTCTTCAGAGGCCAGATCCCAAATATAAGCCCCTCATAATTTTTAATCTTATTGAAAAAATGTTGAAACTCGAATACCAGTCCATAAGGAAATTAAATGCTTACTATATATAATACAAGTTTAGTAGCTCAAGTTTACCTTGAAAAGAAATAGAAATTTTTAGTGGATGGCAACTAATATATGCCGAAATTGTTTAATTCTGTGGATTTAGCTCTCAGAAGAGCTAAAAGAGAATTTTGGTTCTGTTAAATTTGCAAGGATTTATACTTATTATAGTCATACAAGGATTTATACTTTTTTTTTTCTTCCAACAAATATTGCTTGAACATGAAATGGACATTAAGTGACATTCTGAAGTTAAAGCTGGGTAATAGATATCCAGCTTTACTGGGTGTAAATTTGTTAAAGGGACCAGATTGTTGTAAAATTGTCATTCTATCCATAAATTAATCCATTTGTATTTATTTTTAGTAGTTAAAATCTTGATGTCATTGTAAAATCCTAGTGAGATGCATTATTAACTGTAAAAAATAATGTTGTTGATCATCGAAAGTTTAATTTTCCATTTCACTACAACTGTATTTCAAAGATTATGTCAATGACAAGGCTACAAATTAATTAATTGATAAGTATTAATTTCCATCAGGATGATGATTTGGGTGGTGGGTGCGACAGAGAAGATGACGATGACTTTGATGCTCTCAATGATGAGACTTTTGGTATGTGCGCCAGCACTGGCGACTGGGAGGACCAACATCGACAGCTCTCTGGACTTGAAGAAGATGGAGTTACAGATGGGTTTTTCAAGGTATATAGCAGTTCAGGTTTTTTAATGTGCAAGCTAGTCTGTATTCATTGTAATTAGTACTCAATCATTTATATTCATCTTCAATTTGTGTCATTTATTTTAATAATCACTTTGAACTTCATTGATTATTGTAGACATTCTCTTTTTATTATCATTGTGCTATTGTTGCTATTATATGTGTAATTTATGGCACCTGAGTTCAATTTTTGCACATTCCATTCTAGGACAATGATGAGGGTGATAAGCTGGATGGTGTCAGAATTCCAGGCAGTACCCTGAGCAGTCATGTCCCCTACAGCCAAATTGCTCTTAATAATGGATTGGGGAACTTGGTTATGGGAACACCACCTTCTTACAGCACTCCTCCCAAGCCTTCACTTATTGATCCTGTTAAACTCTCGGAATCTCCTGGAAATGGGATCTGGGCGCCTGAAGCCTCTATGCTGGAGAAGATAGGCTTCAATAGGGGCCTAGATGACACCTCTATGAACAGTCAGCTCTACCAGCTCCTAAATCAGAACAATTCACAACATCCCCAGCAGCTATCAAATATCATGGCTTTGCAGCAACGACGGCAACAAATGCTCAGTGCAGTACCTGAAACTTCGGTCGGTTTAGGACATGATACGCAAAGATCTAATCTCTTCTCATCTTCTAGTCAAATGCAGCATCAGCTTATGTCTATGTTTGACAATAGGACGAGCTTGCAAAGCAACTTTGACCAACAGCAGCAGCAACAAATTCATGCTCCTAGCCTGCCTCTGGGATTCGCTAGCAATGTTAAATCTGTAGCTGACCTTGAAATGGAAATGCGTCTACAGCAGCTCAAAGTTGGCGGCAACCACGTGGAAGGGGTGAGTTTCTTTTGATAAAATCATCTACTCCTTATTGTCTTCTGCAGTTTAAATTCGTATCTTCAAACACTCTGAATTTTTAATGTTGATTAACAATGGTCTTATATGAGTAAAAATGTTATGATCTTATTATCTTCAGATTGTACGAGCTGAAGATCTCGAACGAACGCCTGTACCTCGTCTTGGCAATGATCTTGCCAAGCCCCTCATGTCACTCTTCCAGAATCAACAGCAGCAACCAACACAACAACAACACACTGCGCAACAACAGAAGTACAAGGAGCAACAGCAGTTGCACCAGCAAAAACAAATGATGGAATTGCAGCAGAGAAGAAATCACCAATACCAACAACAAATGCTGCACAAGCAGCAACACCTGCAGCGTCACACTTCAATCCATCCATTGACTGGTTTGCCATTGAATGCTCCTGGTTCTGGACCGCATCCTGGCAATGTAATGCAAGTCAACAGGATGTTGCCTCCTAATATGCAATTTTTGCAGCGCCGTCAGAAAGAAATGATGATGGCGAGTTTGAATGGCCGTCAACCTCAGCAGCAGATGATGGGAGGTATCTTGCCAATGGGTTCTCATCTACCTCCATCCATGCAACTTGATCCTAATTTCCAGAACTTTTCTCCCAATCTACGCAACCGCAACTGGAATGAGTTTGAGCATGGAATGGGCAATGGAGGAACTTGCATAGATCGCCGTGGCAGCTTCCCTATTAATGGTAGGGGACGAGAAGGACAATTTGACGGACGCCAGCACGGCTATGACCGTGACAATTACCGCGACTTTGGGAGCAATCATCGCGATTTTGGCAATAATGGAGGGCGCATAAGACGGGACAGTGAAGCTGAGTGGGAGGAATGGGAGAGGACGAGAATGGAAGACGAATATGCCGGACTCATGACTCCGAAACAGAAAAGCTGGCTTAGAAATATCCAGACCATGCAGCTCACAACGGACAACCCTTACAGAGATGATTACTACTTTGTTGTAAGTACTAATTATCTTGAATGATATCAGCTTCAGCAAGCATTCACTATTTTTGTTGATGGATTGATGATACCTGTTTGTTTACTGGCTACTGACGACACAAAAAATGTTAAAGTTTTCCATCCCGCTTTTGTTGCAGATGTACGAGGCAAAAAGGTCACGCGTTCACCTAGATGCACCTCTACAGATCCAAGGTTTGAAGGCCCTGCTTCCCGTCATAGGAGGGGACCAGGATAAGGAAACCGGTAACACCTACCAGCCTCCTGCGATGGAAAACAGTCTCGGCAAACTCCAGGTATGTTGATTGATCAATCAAACTTGATGAGAGGTTATGGTGCTTCGTGCATAAAACGACTTGATGGTTTAAATTTGTGTCGAATGTAAAATCTTACGTCATGGACTCTATAATAATGTCAATGTCTTATATCTCCACATTGTTTCCTGATGTTCCTCTCACGTTCAGGTTGCATCGGTGAACGCCCCTCGCAAAATAATGGACCTGCAAGTGGTTCACTTAGATGCCAAGGAGCCTACAACAAAATTGCAGATGGAGATGCGCACGCATCGAATGCTACTACTTTCTATTGAGAAACTGTACGGGCAGCTTATGGAGCTCGAAGATTTGGATCGGAAAATATCATATTTGCCGGATTCACCCACCCGTGACATCTTCATTCGGCGTGCTAAGGAACTCACCAATGAAATGTGGAAAAGCATTAGCACCAATGATGAATATATGCGCTCCCTGCTCTCTATTAGAAAAGGAAAGGTGAGGACCTGGTGTATATTGTTGCTGAACATGAAGTTTTGTATAAAACAATGAGACCACATTCAAAGTATTACAAACGATTCTTAGTAAAAATATAAGGTCCTTACTTCAATTTGACCGGTTACAATAATGACTGCTGAATATAGGGTTCCTGACCCTATATTGACCCCATATACAATGTAGCTTGTGATGTCACGACTGGAGGCATATTTAATTACCGAAAATCGAGGGGCAAATCAAAACTTGATTCTATGTTCCGTTCCAACGTTCATTGCTTACATGAATACTCATTGGATTATTGATGAAATTAACTGAGAACTGCCTCTTTGTGCGTTTTTTATTTGCTATAATACAATATTCAATTATTAGATTCCTGGATTATATTCATTTTAGTTTGAGAAACTAATTCTTGTAAAGTTATTCTAAAGAAGTGATTGTTTCCAGACTCTCGTGTTGACGCTCGGCCGCCGACTGGGCAAGGACGCTGCCATGCGCACAATGGATGTGGTTCTGAAGTACCTGCCGTACCTGACGCAGAACAGCCAGCCTCAGCACCAGAACACGCTTTACATCCTCTGGCCTTTAGCTGACGAACTCCTGCAAACGGCCTCAGCCGAAAACTTGCTGCATTTTGTCAAGGGGTTGCTGCCTTACCTTAGAACGTCGAAGGCTTCAGAAAATAGTAAAAAAGATGCCACTGCGGACAAAAGTAACAAAAGTATAAAGAATGATGAATTGAGTCCTCTTCTGAAATCCAAATTTAGCATCAGCTTTATAGTAGGTGTGCTGGTTCAGGGTGAAAGTGCGCATCAAAAAATGAAGCTCAGCGAACATGAGGATTGGAAAGAGTTCCTGTCGAGTATCTCTGCCGTGATGGTGCAAGAGCCTAACACCATCACAGACACTTTGGTGCGTGACAGCGATGTTGCGAACGTGGATCGAGCGATGAGCATTGCTCGTATCTTGTCTACAGGCACTGCCAGTGTGTCGACAACGTCCCCTCCAGTGGTTGTGCTGAGCAGGGGCCAGACTCTGAGCAGCCTCACCAAACAGCGCGGACTTGGCGGTGCAGGAGCAAGTGATGTCAACCAATCATCTCCTGCCAGCTCCCTGGCAGGTTCATACTTGGCTGATCGGGGGTCTTGATTTACTTGAGCGAACAGTCGCGGGAAATGATAACATAAGGTGGTTTATTGACTCGTTGTTAAGTCATGAATTTTTTGTTGTAACTAATTGGCAGCGCACAACTATACCTCGTATGGACTGTTTTTATTGCTGTGACATTTGCGCTGAGTTGTCGCCACAAAAGCTATATTGTGTTCTCTGTTGCACTCTGACTGTTTAACTTGCTGGATGACCGTGTCAGAGCTGGACACTTCACTTCACGGACCTTGAGCATTTTCTGTTGCTCCTTCGGGGAAGTTTTTACATTAAGCTTGTTTTGAATACCGTGAACTGCAGCGAATAGTTGGTTGTCCAGCCTTGTGTTCCATTATAATCGTGGGACGAACTTCCTGCTTTTAGTCCTGTAAATTGTCTAGATACCTTAGACATTTGTTGGCAATTTTCAAGTTTTATTGTTTGCCTGTGGCGCTCAATTGAATGGCCATTATCTTTAGTTAGCCTATCATATTCTGGTGCGTTCAAAGGTAATGATCTTTTCTTGTATTTTCGACGCAAGTCCAGTTGCTCGGAATAACGCTTGTTAAAACTTGATATTACCGAATTGAAATCGTTCCAAAATTTCTAAGCTATTTAAATATAGTGTATACTACCTAGATCAAAAAAGTTTGAGCACTTGATGAGTACATACTCCCTCAGAACAAGTTGAAGTAACGTAGGCTGAGCCATTATCTAACAATGTCGGCTTTCTGGTAAATAGTAATTTTTCTCATTGTAACGGTAGTCAATGTGCTTTTCTGCATTCTTTTGTGATAAAAATAAATTACTTTTGCAAAAATATGGAAGCCTATTTTTCTTCTGGTGCCCTTAACGTTAATTTTGTTCATGTTCTCTACCCAATTTGAAATCAATACTTTCCCTACGTTTTATTCTTCCTCTTTAGTTCTTAAGTTAGTGTAATAATTGTTCATTTTAACTTCATTTTCAGCCCATGCATTGATGCGCCGCTTGTTTCATCTTGAGTCTGCAATACCTTGACTGTTCATATTGGATTGTTGAATAAATGTTGACGCGTTTGATAAGGATAGATTTGTGGAAGTTAAAGAGACCGTTCAAGGGATGCAGTTTTTTAGGAGGAATCGTTTTGACACTGATTTCTTAACCTTATGTTTGTGTAACTTCTGTCATTAATTTATGCCGATATTTTGTCTGTTCTCTTACTCTTTTCGTTACAAATTGTCGCCTCGCTCTGTGATGTAGGAAGCTTCAGCAAATTTTTCACTTTAGAACTACACAAAAACTGTAAAGTTCTAGGGCTGTCAATAAAGTTCCTGCTCTGTATCATATGATAAATTTGTTATAGGCTTATTGGGTCTGCCGAACTATTTCGTTCAGTTCTCATGTATTTACCACATAGTTGCCACGTTCATCCGTTATCACTCGTTTTGATTTTCTTTAAAACTATAATTTCGCATGAAAGACAATTGAAACTTGACTCACATTTCCTTCTCATTTCACAGTAGGACTTGATCGCTGCTTATTCTCGTTTCTAGAGTGCACACGTTAGAGAGTGGCGCGTCTCTTGTTGTTGTGTGAGACTTGTTGAATCCGATCTCCAAGAGTCTGTAAATGAATTTAGATAGGAGCAGAGAGACTGAGGTTTGGTTGTGATGTTCAAATTTAATTCTTTGAGTGCTAGGAAGTGACGAGACCGACGTACATTCTAGTGACGAGACTGATGTACGGTTTCTCTTCATCTTCATCTGGTTTTCAAATATCGGCGAACGCCATTTGGATCACAAACTAATATTTGTGACTGTTGCGCTTTAATAATCTCTGTTATTGTTCCTCTAGTATGAAGAAAACTTGTCAAGATTTGGTCGCACACCATTGTGCTTTTTGCATGCTTAGGGAAGTGTAGAGTTTTTTGAAAGATAATGTATCTTGTTCGAAATTTTTCTGATCATTTTGTGATAGCTGTTCTTAATTTGGTGGGGGTGATACACGTTTCGCCCAGGTATATTGGTGCGACTTTATTGCCTAATGAAATTATCCTGTGGGGCGATATTAGTTAAGCCCAGGCTACATTTGTTTACAGCCTTCCAACACAGCTAGCTTTCTAACCATTTAATAAACGGTATTTAAATTTGCAACTTTATTTTATTTCCTTAGCGAATACATGCTGTCCTAATGATTTTTTATTTCTAACAATCTTATTATGTTTGATCTTGAGGCTTGAAATTTTTACATATACCGCTCGCGCCAAATGGATATCTTCGATGTTTCACGTAGAAAATTTTCAACTGTTCAAGAGCCTGAAATTTAATTTGCTTCCAAATTACAGGAAATTATTTTGAAAATATTGAGATTAAATCTAACTTGGAGTTTACTATTACGTACCAATCAATATCTTATTTTATGCCGTGGCCAATCTAATATATAAGTTAATGGTTCCCTAACTTTTGCAGGCTGATGCCCCCTTGGCTCCACAGTGAATTCCTAGCGCCCCCCACAGGCAAATAACGTTCATATAGCGCCCCCCACAGACACGCAAAAACCTAGATTTTAGATACATTCAAAAATTTACACTAGAAACCCAGGAGATGTTAAAAAAAAGATCTAGGTGGAAAGCCCATCGCTGTGAGCCGTGTAGGTGCACGTGTGAGTGCACACAAACGTTCGAACCTCGGGTTCGGACTGCCTCCCTCTTCTTCCTCGCCGACCCCCCAGATCTTTGAGGGGTTTGAGGGGGCGGTGCCGCTCACTTTGGAAACCACTGACCTAATAAAATAGGAATGTGAGAAACTAGTACGGGATTTTTCGACACACTAGCATAAAGTGTAAAGCAGCGACAATTCTAAACTCCTATACTCTCGGTTGTTAGTTTCGACCAATATAATGCAAGACACGAATATGACGAATGCAAGACACGAATATGCCTCTCTACGAGATCACGGAAACCAATTCAACGATGCTACGTCTTTCCAAGACATGAGAACAGTTAAACCTATGCGGCTATGAATGGTATAGCGATGTCAACACTCCTTACTCATTAGGTCGTTAGACCTGTCGCGAATTCTTTAACATTGCAGAATTTTCGCAGCTTGCTTCAGGTCTCGAACACGCATCTTACAGTTCCTATCTTGGTATTCTGAATTGTAACCATTGGACCCCTGAGCTTCATTCAAATTTAATTTACACACTAATGCAGGACGTTTACTGACACAATTGTCCATTTTCATTGGAAAGTCTCTTTCTTGTACAATGTTCATCATCCGATCTTATTAGAATTAGAAGTTTTTGCATTCTTATTTCTTTTCTTTGGGGTTCTTGCATTCAACTATTCCACTTCCTTACAGTCCATCTGGGACCCGATATGGATAGGGGGGCCTGTGTGCCACTTTGCTGGTATTCTGTTAGCACCTCCAGCCGATTCTTTTGCTGAAACGTTCAACTTTTTCAATGGCTAATTCGCGCCAGGCTAGAAATTTAATAAATGTGATACGATAAGTCACGCGTGTTTCTGCCGTTTCGAAACAACTACGGTACTATTATTCTATAGCTAACATAAAAATCTTAATTCAAGTTTATATAAGTTATTGATACGTAAGAAAGAAAAACCCTGGCGTTAGCCGGCACCTTATTCTAAGCCGCACATGTTTTACGTGCATACATACCGGTAGAGAAAACAGTGTTGGCGAAGGGAAGAATTGAAAATAAGAGTTTTAAAAATCGACATAAACGCAGGGTTCACAATATTCCTAAGTTTGTTTTAAACCTTTAAGTTTATGTATAATCATATATAGCGAATTCTAAAGTTTTTGCTGCCGTTGTGTGTTCACGTCACGACACATTACGTGGACACGTGAACTTGGAAAGCCGCACATAAATCAAGCATTACTGCATTTCGTGGAATGCCTATATTGCATTCTGAGGGCCATCGTAATTTTCGACATAAAATATCTATTATGGTTTAAGTGGAAGAATCGGTATTTTAGCACTGAAGTTTCCAAGACTTAAAAGTTGCAAAATATGCAACTTCCTTCAATTTTTGACAATATATAATTTGAATGGTTGGGAATTCGACAATGAAAAATATCGTTGACATTTAACTCGTTGACAGATATTATTTGAAAGGAACTTAGCTAACGTAGCCTACTAGCCTATTTATTTTTCTTTTTGAATTTTATTCTGTATAAGTTACGGTAGATATTAAACTAGCTACTAATACGGACGACTCTACCCGTCTACCGTTTGGCGTTACCAAATACCTAGTAATACCTATTAGGCTAGCTACCGGAGTGCCGGTAGTATTGACAGTAAAGAATGGACAGCGAAGTTCTTGATGTTCTTGAAGATCTGGGGTGAGTATCATTATGTAGATTTTTTTAATATTTGTATAAAATGCCTAGGTTCTCAATTTCTCATCTATGATAATGCTTGACTGCTGGTATCCACGAAACTAACTTTACTGGTCTACATATAGGTACCTAGGTCTAGGAGCTAGGACTTGAAAATAAACTGGAGGAAGAGTCTAAAAAAGTCTGCTCTGACATAAATAAAGATTACCGTAGCAGTGACAGAACTGGCCAGCAATAAATAAGAATTTTATTTGAGCAGGTTTCAAATTTTTGCTGCAGTTGCTGCCTCAGTGTTATTCTTGTAGTAATAACTTGTAGGTACCAACCTAAAATATTGATTATAGGCCTAGCATAGGTACCATTAATTTCAATTTTCAAATGAAAATGATACCTAGAAGCCACTAGTACCTAGTGCTAGTACTACCCATAGGCTATAGGTAACCTAAGGGCTAAGGCTACCTTCTAGATGTTCTGCACCTGGTGACCTGGGGCTGGGAGNTCTGTCTCTTATACACATCTAGATGTGTATAAGAGACAGGCTCTAATCTAATGTGACCGAAACTACGCAATCGAAAAAACGTTGTTTACATTTTTTGCGGGAACTCATCGCAACTGATTTCCGGACAAGCTTCGCTGCATCGTATTCCATCCAACGCACCGGAAACCTTACCCTTTTTCTAAATAGTTGGCCAAAGACAGAAATATATTAAATGCAAGAATTTCAATCTAAATGTGTTGGCAAGATCTTCTGAAGGCAAAAATTTGGCTACTGAAGCGTCGCCAAAAATCTTGCAATATTCATCCACTCTCTGCACAGTGGATCTCATCTAGCCTCTAGGCTACCAGATATTCCAAATTGGGTTGAATATGTTCTACATTTTTCCATGTTATACCTAGGCTAACATAGCTTACTAAGCCTAGCCCTAGTAGCCATTTGTTTGCAAGTTTGCATTTTGCAAGATCAAAGTTTGCCATCAACTGAGCACAAAAGTTAGCTATCTGTTGTGAACTTGTGATTCCAAAATCTTCCTGTATTCTGCCAGTCTTCCAGAGTCCCATTATGTCATTGCTTTTTGTTAGTAAGAATTGTTAATTGTAATTGTCAAAAATTTTTCTGTCTCTGTTTTTTTCTAATTGTTGCAAAAGTGCAAAAATTTACTAAATCGTCCCTTGAACACGTCATCAACCGCTGAATAAAGAACAAAAGTATGAAAGATATGAACAGCATTGAAGCATTAGAAATTTCCAGCACCATACGAGGCATCTGGATCAGCGGAGGAGCGCTTGTATGATCACGTCGTAGTAAAAGCCAGATTACGTACAAACTAACACACATACAGGCATGCTGTTACACCATTGGATGCGTAAAAATCAGAGCTCCACCCTGATATCTCTCATTGGCTGCTGAAGCAAGGCGTTGAAAATTGCCAGCTCGATTGGTCGGCAATGACGCAACAGCTGAGTAGCGCAATTGGCCCGTGTGAGCCATGTGGGCTAGATCAACCAATCGTACTAAAATCAATAAAAAAAACTAACGCACGCACAGACATGCCGATAACATCATTAGACGCGTCTAAAAGTCAGCTTTAGAAAGCATTAATAAAAGAAAAAAGTGAAATTTTTTTATTTTTAGCTAGGGCGGTCCCCTTAATGCATTGTGAATCTTGCAGCATGCTTAATAATGTTTTATTAGAAATTTGATAGGGGATAATTCATCTAGCATGAATCTTGCAGCTCAGAAAATGGGTGGAAGACCTAGTTGTGGCTCAAAGGCCTCTAGATATTCCATGCCAGTGTTTAGGGCTATAATTATAATAATATAGTGAAAATGAAATCACAAACCAAGGCTTTAGTTTGACAAAATTCCCTTTGGCTTCACTTCATGCTCATTGATGATTGATTACCAGTTTACCACTGTAGTTTATCTTCTGAATTATTTATTTCCCATTTCATATCAATTGCCTGTAGTGATATATCAGAAAGTTTAAGGTGTATAAAGAAACATATATATTTAGCCTTGAATCTTGACTAATTAGCACATTTTCTCATTTATGGAAACAATGCACTATTGTGCTTGTCATGTCCATCCGTCCATCTGTCCGTGACCTCAAGTTATTGTCGACAAGAAAATGCGCTCTCTGTCACTCACTGCAGTAAGTACTGAGTTATATTTTTTTTCACTGCAGGTATGAGGAACCTTTAGCTGATAATACAGCTTTATCAAAACTTATTGATGGAAATGATGGTGGTCCAAAATGCCCAGCATTTACCAAACTTGTGGCTTGGGCAACAGGAGAACTAAGAGTGCTTCTCCAACTTGAAGAACATGTGAATGCCACTGCAGGTCCAGATGATCATGCTTCTTTTTGTATGGAAGTCTCAGCTTTTCTTAAGGAAATGGGTAAGGCCCCTATGATTTTAAATTTATGGTCAACCACTCACAACTGTGTCAGTAAAAACTATTTATAATACTGATGAGAATAAAGATTTATTTATATGATTTAATTGCCACTTGATAACTAAGAAGTTTTTTCCAGCATGCCAGAAGGTTGTGGTTTTATTAATAAATTAGATTGTTTATTTTGAAGGCTGGAGACATAAGCACTGTGGCAAAGTTAGTTAGGTAATGTCTTGATAGTGAGATTAGGTTCCTTGCTAGGTCAAATCCATTCAAGATTCGTAGGTGTAAAGTTGTCTACACATAGGTACTCATAGCAAAAATTAAATTATCAATTTTAAGCATTCATGTATTTTGACAGGCTGCCCACATCCTGCACTCATGGAAGGTTCTGCCACTGACCGCCTGAGTAACAGGAAAGGTCGTTTGTTGCTCCTGCATTTCATTCTCATTGAGCTGATGGCAGCTCGGATGACACAGGCACACTCTCCTCAGCAGGGTCTCAAGCTTAAAATGGTATAGATTTAATTTTTAAGTGTCATACTAATTTGGTGAACCTGAAGAACTTTTTTTACTTCTTGTTTAGAATAAATTTGTAACTGATTTTGTGCAAACATGAATAATTTTAATTTTGCCAAAAATTATCTGGAACTTAGTATTAGAAAAAATATTGCAATGCTGTTGATATACTCTATAGCATTGATAAGCACCTTGTTTTAGCATAAATTTAGAAAGAAAGCATCATGTCATGTGATATGCATGGTTTCAGAGTTGTTATCTCAGTATTAGGTATATGTCATGGCATCACTTCAGATTTTTTCTCTGTAAGAACACGTTTTTTTCCTTGATACAGACGGAAACCAGTCAAGCAAAGGACTTAAAGCAGCTTCTTGTCACCCTGGGCTTTCCAAAACCTCCTAATAATATTACTCCTCAACAACTGTTTGGCAAAGCACATCAAAAAGTTAGTTCTAGCAAGATGACTGCTTGATAAGTATATAAATGCAGTTGAAATTTAGTTTTTTGTGACGTGATTTTTTTCAGCTACATGATTTTGATATAGCAATGTGATTTTTGTAGCTCTAAGGCTATATATTCTCATAAATTAAGATTTTCCAATCACGTTGCATAGTTCAAATCATTCATTTCTGTTTTGATTTGCAGAGGTAAAAATTTAGTCAATATTTTGACTTGTTAGTTTGAAGGGAATACTAAAACTTTTTACACCTTAATGCAAGCATTGCATTGTCATACCTTCTCAACTAAAATCTAAGCATCTCTTAGTAATTCACTGATAAAATGTTTATTGCAATCTTGTCTTCTCTCCAGCTTACGGAAGTACTAAAGAAAGCTCCTCCAAGCCTCGTGGGTAAACCTCTGTTTCATGAGACACTGTCAGAGAAGCAGTGGAATATGCTTCAGGAAATTCAGGACGAGATGTTCCAGGAGTACACAATGCGTCGGCAGATGATGATCAAACGACTTGATCTCACGTTTCAGAGCTTTCAGGTACGTTCACTTTGTAATTTTCATATTCAATCTCTACTGAATTTTTGTGCTTTTAGCTACTGATGGTTAGAAAAATTTTCATTTTCTAATTAAAATTTTTCATCTTTTTAGTGTTAAGCAACACTGACCCGGGTACATATATAGCTCTCAGTTATTTTCATTTTCGTCAATGAGTGAATTGAGACACAGAGGTTTCATACAACATCGGAACTGCGAGCCCACGGGAGAAATTTTTTAGGCCAGAAATTTCCTTCTAGATATGTTGACGTGAATTAATGTATGTAATTTAATTAATGCTACTTTTCTACCAATGCTAATTACCTCGCTTTACTTATATACAAGATTATTACGTACACTGCACTGCATATCGTCTGAGTGTTGCCGTGCAGTGGTCCCTTATTACACTGCACAACATATCATAATTGTTATCATGCAGTGGTCTGACCAAGGCAAGAGCCGGGAGAACGACCTCGTAGAAGCGTTCCTCAGTCGCCGTGACCGGCTACAGGAAACTCCTGACGTCAGTCTTGGCCATCTTCTGGCTGCTCGGGAGGACTTGGCTGTCCTTGAGAAAACTAGCAACGCCTCCGTCAGGAAAAACACATCCTCAGCTCTTAATAAGGTCTGGTGTAATATAGATTAATTCTTAATTCAACTGTGAGGGATTTGTTTAATCCATCGATACTTGAAGTGTCAATGATAATCTAAAAGTAAATTAAATTGAACACATTACTTTGGGTGGGTAAGGATATTCCTATTTAGGCAATACCAATTATTAGATTGTTTGCTTCATCAGAATAATTTTCATTTTGTGCAATTGCTCATGCAATAACCGTGTGCCAGTTTTTATTTATTCCATTTAAATATTTTATTCATTGTGTTTTTCATTTCTATTTACATTTTGGAGAATATTTGTCTCTTGCATGCTTGAATGGCCGTGCCGAGCAGGTGCTCATCGGGCGCGTCCCTGACCGTGGCGGGCGCCCTGACGAGCAGGCGGCCCCGCCTCCTGAGATGCCATCCTGGACCCAGCGGCAGCCCGGTGGCGGTGGCGGCGGCGGTGGTGCAGGTCAGGAATTTTCTTTTAAGAGTCCGTAAGGTGGTGGGGTGGTGGTTGAGGTGGAGGTCAGGAATGTTCTGAGTGTCTGTAGGGTGGTGGTAGTGGTGGTGGTGGAGGTCAGGAATGTTCTTTTGTGGTGTCTGTAGAGTGGTGATTGTGGAGGTAGTGGTGGTCGATGCTAGAATATTCGCATTTTGGCGTCATGGTCGTTTTAGTTTCAGTTGAAGTTCGATTTGTATCCCTGGTACGTAGCCAGGGATAATCGTGCTTATCGCGAGTCGTGATAATCAAAGTTTTGTTGTTTCTATAAAGCAAGTATAGAACTTGTCACGTTTTAGTGTGTTGAATAACGTGAGAAAAAGGAATTTATTTATAATGGCCTTGAATAGTTTGAGGTGGGTTGGGGGATGAGAACCAGTCCAATGCTTTTCTGCACGGTATTTATGTCGAAAATATGCGGTTTCGTTGGCAGATTTCTTTCAATTTATGTCTTTATGTTTATGTTATTTATACTAATATCACTGACATACATTATAGGTACTTGAAAACCGTTGTGGAGAATTCGAATTTTATTCGTGAAGTTGTTTCTACTTCAACATCCTCCTAGAGCAAGGTGCACATTTTCAAAGAAATATCATGCATTCCTCATAAATACATTATAAAAAGCCACAAGATTCCTTCTTCAACTGCCATGAAATACATTAGTTGAATGTGTAATAAATGGATAGAAATATAGCCGCATCTGCTACAGGCGGTGGCGGTTTTAGAGGCCAGCAACACCACCAGCAACAGGATCAGTATTCTGGTGAGCCTGGCTCATTCACATCGAGTATTTCCATTTCATTTGACCCTCTGCGTTTGTTAACGGATGTTTAATTTTTGTTACAGCATTTGTTCAAGTTTGGTATAATTTAGACGATAGAAATTGCTTGGTAGTTTGAACTGGCTTTTTGTTGCTTTTTTTCCTATTTCGATTAATTGTAGCCTACGAGGATATAGAAGCCTTAATCCTTACTAAATTTGACGGAATATTTTTTTTTGTCAAGATTTTTTTATTTTATGTAGTTTGTTATTTTATTTATGTAGTTATTTGTACTAACATTTTCTCGGTCTTTTTGAAGTAATTTTAGTTGCTATACTTACGAGTCTATGAGCATATACTGCGTGCTAAGTTTTATTTACGCATTTGAATAGTCGCGGAGTTTATAAATTTTTATCTCTGAGCAGTGAAGACAACATTTCTATTCATTTGTCACCTCGACTATTTCATTCACTCTCTCACCGCTATCATTTCAGTAACCTTTTCACCATGGTTATTTCATTCATCATCTAAACGCGGTCATTACATTTGTTTTCAACACTTGATTTCATTCACTCCTGTAGGTAAAAGGCGCCAAGTCACGCCTAAGCTTGTGAGGACAAAATTAAGTTCATGGACGAAACTTAGCAGCTTCAGTTTAATGTCAGTTGATGGTGTATTCAGAAGTTTAATAATTTTCTATATGAATTGAAAATCAAAATTAGTCAAGAACGAGACTGAAAGATTCGGCGACAGGTCCTGATCGGTCTAAGTACATGCGTTAACTCGTGCTGTACTTCATCATCATGCAAGTACTGCATCATCAGACAAATCCTGGCTTAAATTTAACCATCAAAAACTTCTTTCCTGAATGTAATGAAATTAATTACACTAATATTTCTTACCTACGACTGTGGCATTATTTGATTTTAATTTTTATGGGTAACATTATTTTGTTAACAAAATTCTTGTGTTGAAGTTTCCCATAGAATGTAGCGCCATATTAGTGAATAGCTTCCTGCGTATCAAACTCGATTCCACATTCAACCCCTAAGAATAATTATCATAGGCAATGAATACAGGGAAAGGTTAAGATGCTAGTGCTGGAGAGACGGCTCCATCTGTACCCCAGGGTTCCCAAAAAGATGGTCCGAAGCTACGCGATATCAAGCCGCTGTTTGCCCAGCCGAGCAAGATTTGTAATCACCCTTTTCTTGCGTAAAATTTGTTTGTTTGTTCTCTCTGCGAGCTCTTTCGTGATTCTCGCGTTTCTGCATTATCTCGTTTGGTGATTTAAGTCTCTGATCGTGGGTGATTGTTGAACCTCTGCTAGGTTTTAATGCCGTGTTGCCCTACATTGAACTTAATAGCTTCAAATCAGATCTTCTGTGATGTAGCACATTGGCTGTTCCCACAGTATACAACAAACAAGTATCCCTGTCCTGGTCCAACTTATAGTTGGATTAAATTCCCATCAATGAGTCTATTCCTATTTTTAAGTTTGATTTGCAATATGTTTGGATAAGCTTTTTGTTACATCACTAGAGCTTGTGTGACGATGCTCATCTCAATTTTGTTCCAGGAGGTCGTGGTGGTCGCGGCGGCAGCCGAGGAGGTGGCGGTGGTGGAAATTTTTCCAGCGACCGCGTTCAAGGCGGGTGGAACCAAGGTGGCGGTGGTGGTGCAGGTGGATTTGGCAGTTACAGCAATCGGGGTGGTGGTTCAAATGGTTTCTCACACGGAGGTGGATACGACAACCGCGGATACGATAATAGAGGCAAAGGTGGTTATGGAGACGGCGGTGGATATGGAGGGGGCGGTGGTGGAGGATACGGAGGCAGCGGTGGTGGTGGATATGGAGGCAGCAGCGGCGGCGGTGGATATGGAGGAGGTGGGGGAAGAGGTGGACGAGGTCGCGGGAGAGGTAGAGGACAGCGGTATTAAGCCTCACAATCTTACGTTTAACTCTTGTCAAATGTTTCAGTTTCGTAATTACTTTGTTATGACCTCAGCCTCTGAATCCAAAGGGGTCGTTTCTCTACAATCGACAGTGGATTGCCCTGTTATCGTAATATTCAGCAGCTAACATTTATATTTATTTACTACGCTTGATATGTTGATATGTAGTATGAAGTATTCACATATTTTAGCTCCTCTACAAATATTATTTATTTCAGTGCATGCTTTGGATCTTGACCTCGTTAAATGTGTTCTATTTTCCATATTTTGTGTGTACTCAATTTTCTAATAGTTGAACTATATGTGAGACGGACTTGGTGAACGGCTTACAGAATCTCGAGATTTGACTCAACAACCTTGCTGGAGATCAGGTGGGGTCGATAGTCATTCTAAGATGAACAAAAATAATTTTAGCCTTCCTCCCTGAATGTTAGTCGTCAGTTTAAATACTAGATCCCCGAACGTTACGGACAATGATTTATCGATTTAGTGTTTATTTAATAGCCTGCGAAGAAAGCAATAAAATCAACGATCAAAAACTTTTCATAAGATTTCTCTGGTGAAAACTTGGCAATTTAAGTCCCACGCCTCTTGTTCTTCGAAGCCAAATTTCGTGGATGTGGAGTGAGATTCTAATGTAATCTGTAGTCTTCACATGCTACTCCAGCAGCTTGATAAAGTGTGATTGAACCAACGTTTTTTCTTTTCTCCTAGATATGTTTTAGGGTAGGCAGAACAATTAATGAAACTCGTTCAGTAGCTTTTTTCATTTGACAATAATGATCATGACTGATGATTCTCACTTCCGACAGGCCTAATGAATACGACTTGCACAAGGTTCTGCGACAAATTTTTTTCAAAGGTTAAACAAAAAAATAACGAGAATTGCGCGAAAGGCTTTTGAGTCTGGCTATCTGCATTAAATAATGAACTATAATATAAAATCGCTACGAAGTTGTAAGAATGAAAGATTATAAACGTCCTTAATGTACCTTTCACACGCCAGGAAACATCGGCTGCCATAAACTGCCGTTGAAGTTTTAATCACATACTCCCAGTTGCAACATTTATCCCTTACGAGAATAATATTCAGGCTATCTGACAGGCGACCATAACTTGATAAGCCGTTTCCATATTGAAGCAGAAGGTTTACACCATTTCAATAATCCTGATAGTTACTTGAACTTATCATAGTAACTTGATTCAAGTGCATTAAAAGGTGTGACATTTTCCTGAATCACAATCGAGCAGTTCATATGTAATGCTACATATTCGTCCTTCTGACTCAAAAGACAACCAAATAATCGAAAATTCAACAGGCATGAACGCTGTTGCCTTTAATACATGTATGGCGTTACAGCTTTTACGGTACCGCTAACAGCCGAACTAAGTGCAAAAAGATCAAGAGCAATTCAAGGTTTTTCGGGTAAATGAAGCCGGACGGACAATTGACATACATACTTCTCAAAAAACACTTGAATACGTTTGTTTATATTGAGATAATATAACACCCACACTTGCACGGAATATATGATTAAATACCTCATTCTGGATCGTTGCAACATGGTTGTACAAGGATTCTGAAATTATGTTTATACACATTAAAAGATTTCATTCGTTTGCATTTTTGGAGTTGGTAGAGCCTAATTTGTTTGATATTTTGGTAGTCCGAGAATTTATTAGTGAGCTCTAAATTTTCTAGTGCAACGAGTTTTCGTAGCTAGTTTACCACCAGTACCTAGCTCAAATAGATTCGAATCAAAATAGATTTTCACGATGACAAAAATTCAACACTGAAAGCGAGGATAATTAATTCGATGGTCAACTTCTGGGGAGCTTGAAGATTTCAGCGAAATAAAGGAAATAATTAGTGTAAATCTGTTTCGTATCCTTGACGACTGACTAATTATTATATTGAGATCTTTTGGAGTCAGAGTAAGCAGAAGAGTTCAACTAGTTGCGAACACCGAAATTTCTAACTGATGTCGGGTAGATCTCTTGCAGAACAATTCAAGAATCATCACACATCATGCTGAGGCTTTGTTACACATGTGTTATAAATTAAATGATTTTGAGGCCCTAATATGCATAAACAGATCCAGCTTCTTGAACGATAAAAAAATACATGAACTGAACAAAATATTCTTATGTCAATACACTGCATAGTATATTCAAACGCGAATGGTTTTAGTTCAATCCTCACCCGCGTGACGTGTAAAAATATGACTGAAGAAATTGTTCAAATGTCAATACAAGGCCGATATTCCAGCTTGAGTGGCTGTGGTCTGAATCTCCACCGCGTGACTTGAACGAATTTCAGTGTGTGGTCTTTGCCAAGCATTTCTTCATTGCACAATATGTCGATCTGGAAGCGAAAAAATTCATTAATGTAAGAGTTGGTTGCAATGGAGGCCACATCAGTCAAGAGTAGTGGCTCAGGCTTGAGCGTTAAAGAAACTATTATCAAAATTACAGTAAATACCATTAAAACGAGAGAATAATCTTCTGCAAATAATAATCTCAAAACTCGTTTTTGGATACAGACAAAAAATTATCAGCTTGGTAACAACTAACAATTATTTACTTAAATAATTAATTTAATTTGATGAAAACTTCAAGTAATTTACTTACATCTCTGTAGTGTTGTGGTCCTTCCAAGACCTTAAGGGCGATAAATTTCTTGAGGTGTGTGATTGTCGCCTGAGCAGAACATCTGATGAATTTTCTCTTCAATGGGGCCAGACTGCAACACTTACACTCCAGCATAATGTTCACCTGGGTAAGATAGTGTTTATGAAGATCGAGGTTATATCGTGAAATCATCTTAAATATTAATTAATAGAAGCAGACGATCAATTTAATTTCAGAGCTCGAGACTAGAACTGCAATAATATCAGTAGCAAAAATCTGAAAAAATTACTCAGTCGGGAGTTAAACAGCTGGATGAAGCCAATTCTTACTCCAGCAGTGCCATGATAACTTGCTATTAGAATGGGTGAGATACTCAAAATATGTTTTGTATTCACGTTTCAAATCACGTCCTGGGAGTGGCACACATAATGACCGTTTCCTAAAACTAGAATGCCAGAGCTAACATCATGTTTATGTTCCCTCGCAGCAGCCAGCATGTAAGAGGCATGTTTCTAAGTAAACCTTGAAAAAACATAAGACTTAATATTGAGACAAACCTGTTCGTCGAGTCGATGGTAGTCGGAGGTGGTATGGTCTTCTTCAGGAGGTGCTGCAGAAGTGTGGTCGTCAGGTGCAGGTGGGAGGTCTTTTGGACACACTTCACCACGCACGCGATAAAATTCCCGCTCCAGGCGAATTTCATCTGCAAAAGTATGAATTATTCAGGTGTTATAAAGCTATTCAAATTGTTCACATTTTGAATAATATTTATATTATTCAAATTATTATATTTCATATTATATTTCAATTACCATTATTAGTCCAATTATGAAATCCTCAATATGAAATTACCAATATGTTTAAGTCAATCCAATACTCAGAATTAAATCTCATATTGAATAAGTAATATTGAATTGCTGAGAAAATATAGTCTTCAAAAGGAATGAAGAAGTGAGTATAGACTAGAGCTTTATTTTTTGATTATTTGGTAAAACCTTGTAAACAATATCTTGAATAATGAAGACTTACTTTCCTGAAATTTAGGTACAAGTGGTTGAACAATATACAGCATTAGGCTTATATTCTTCAAGATTTGACACAAGTTGATGTCCAATATCCTGCATTGAGAGGGGTTATTTTCCTGACAATATGGCACAAACGTGCAAACAATACCCTGCATAATGAAGGCTTACTTTCTTGAAGATTTGGCACCAGCTTGTAGACAATATCTTGCATTGTGCGGTCAAAGGAGATGTAATTGAGAGGGTGCGACTGGTGGATGACAAGCTCGCAAGATGGACATGTGTTCTTCTCCTCCAAATGCTTCACCAAACATGATTTGCAGACTGTAAAATGATGTCAAATACACTTGTTATAACTTATAGGTACCGTATACCATAAATACAGCATCAATATTTACCACCATATAGAACTGATATTGTAAGCATATCATAATTTATGTTGAAGTTCAATCATGACTGAATGTTAAATAATATTGTTCTCATCCTAACAAAACATGTAGAACCAAATTCTAGACTTTTAACCATAAATAAATATATAAATGACAATCATCCAATATTTTACAGCCCCAACATGTTTCAACAAATCAGATAATATTATTTGACGAAATTAAGAAACTGATTAACAGAACTAACTTACAAGTGTGAAGGCATTCAGTGACAGTTGTGGCATCAATGAGGTAGCCAGAGCAGATAGTGCAAACTATGTGCTCGTTTAGTGTCTTCAATTTGATTCGACGTTCCATGACAGACAAGGAACCTGAAAAGATTTTGTTCCTGAATGCACTAACAACTACACCTGGAAAAAGGAAAAAATGTTACTATTGTATGCAGTGAATGAAATAAAAACAGTTATGAATTCTCAAATCCTATTTGATGATTAAGGAACATTTTTTGCACACATTTCAAGCCTTCAAGGTTTAGAGGAACTTGAGTAATTTAAATTAGGCTAAATATTCTACATTCCTAGATACGTCTTATTTACTTTTAATGGGTCCTCACCGTCCTCTAAGAAGCAAAAAAAAACAGTATTTATTTGGAGAATTAAAAATGAACTGATTCCAAAAGATCTCTTGTTTGTCACTATCCCATAATGGCAGTGCGTGGAGGGTAAGCCCAGTAGCATAGTGGCAAAGCAGAGAGTTTTTTAGACTCTCCCTCAAATTCAATATTTAGCACTATAACTAGACCAGTAAAGTATCATGGTTTCATGGATACCAGAATTATCATACATAAGAAATTAGTTTAAATATTGAGTAAATAAGAAAATTAAAAATGAACTGGGGTAAACGCATCATATTCCGACATTGTGGGTAATTCCGACACTTCTCAACTTCTTCCTTTATATTAAGCTTTGTCTTGCTTCCACGCATGCATAGATGGTTGAAATAGTGACGTCATACTATTGCGCGCCACATTCCCATGAAACACTAGGTCTGGCGGGAAAATGTTAAGATCCTCAGAGCAAAAGTCCAAGTCAACTAGTGAAAACATCAAGTTTGACGGTTCGTATCAAAGTTGATAGTAGACCTTGCTCTACCAAATAGTGATAAACTGTTTGTGTAGAAAGAATATTATGGATTGAAACTTTTAAATAAGTCTGTAAATATATTAGGAATCCTGGAAGTATACTTGTATTTGCCAATTTTAAGTGGTAAATAAATTAATAGATGATTAAGTTAAGAGACAGTTTTAGACACATAAAAACTAATTCTGACACAGCTTGGAATTGGACACATACAGCTCGTTTGGAGCTGTGTTAAAAAATTAACATTTTCTTAGTTAAAAGCTTAATAACTCTTAATTAAAAAATTAAAATTTTTTAATTAAGCTTGTTCCAAGCTGTGTCGTATTCCAATACAGCTCACACAGGGCATCAGATTTACGAATTAGTAAGAGTTAGAAGCGCTGTCGGAATTAGTCTTACAATATGCCAAATTTAGTCACACACAGCATTGGAATTCAGGGATTTTGTAGATTTGAATTCTAAGGCTTTTAAATAAATATGGCAACAGTTTATGATGTTTCATTGTTGCTGCGTGTAGTGTGGTGTTCTGAGAGTGACGTAAAGCAATCAGAACTCAAGTTGCGCATACCGTCAAACGGGGTAAAAAGTGACGGGCGGGGTAAATAGGGAGGCGCGTCCCACATTTTGTAGAAATGTTGTTAGGGGCTGCATTTAGGCAAATGAATGATTTATTAAGTGTTTTCAATTAATTCTCTCTTTTTGTCCCCAGTGTTTGAATGTTAGATTGATTCAGATCAGTGGAATACTAAAGCCAGTTAAAGTAATTTTTGTGCCAAGCCTTCTTCTTCATGGGTTATTGACCAAGGCAGATTTGCTCTTCTGACCTAGTGCCTTTTGCTGACTAACCTGCTGCATTAAATGAACCTGCTTTCTGGCTATGCTGATATCAAGACTGACCTGTTGCTGAACTGCTGATAATGCTTTTCTTGGCTCTTAAATAGGTGAGTAAAGGGAATACTCTTGCCACGCATCTCAGTCCTAAATTTTAATTATTGAATGTTATCAGTAAATGTTTGTACATATAATCAATCATCCCTTAAAATTGTTTTACGGTTTTGCATTGGGTAGATCAATTTGTTCTTATGTGTTCCTAGTGTACTTATGTGTTTCAACTTTCAAGTGTAATTGTTGGATAGGTTTTACGTGTTCTTTTTCCTGCACTTTTGCAGAGCGGCCAATGTGGGGCATATTCTGGGCCAATTTGGAGCGCATTCCGGCAAGTTCCGAGCTAGTTTGATACCAGTTCTGGACGAGTGACAGGCAAGCTTTGGGCTCACTGAGCCACATTGCAGTCGAGTCTTGGGCTGCTCTTGAGCTACTCGAGCTGACACTAGAGGCCAGCGTGGATGCCTCTTTAAGTCCTGTCCAGCAACTCATGTCAGATCTGCCCTAACGTGCCAGTTGAGTCTACCCCACTGCTACTCACAAGTAAGGCCACCGCCGTCTTGTTTCTTTGGTGCGGACGCCACTTGATGGACCAGGCCTGAACCAGGGCCCATTTTGAGCCCTTGATTCCTTGGTTTCATTATTCTTGATTTGATTTATGCTACAGATCATTATTCTGGCCCAGTTTAGTTTATTTACCATGTATCATTATTTGTTCTTTGCTGTTCAAATCAGTTTGGGCTGCTGGCTGTTCATTTTCTCATGCTAGGTTCACCACATCACTCATAGCCCTGGGCTGTCTCATTACTAACCAACTAATTTTTCACCTTTCACCTTCATGTACCACTGATTATATTTAATACATGTTTGCTTGGTTCTTCCTCCGTTTGTTTCCCTGAGTTTGTTTTGCTTGGCTTCACATGCTGGTACTATACCAGCCGGACCGTTGACCTTTAGAGGGGCTGACCCCCAACAATGTTGTAGCAGCTAAACTAATCAAAATATTGCATAACTAAAAATAGTGGCATAAACTTCAACATTTTTACTAACTATTATGCATAAAGCTAGTCAAGAAATCAAACATTTACTATCTCTAAAAAATTGTTGAAAAAAACTGAAAAGTGCAATTTTGGAAAAGTACCTCTGCTAAGGTCTGGAGCATAAAAAAAATATTCACCGTATTAAAAAATTTTACTTGCATAAAAGTTGCACCAGGTGCCTATCTCATTCCCCCCCAAAAAATGGCAGCCATTTCCGCAAGCAACCGGGGTGAAAAGGGACACCCCCCCAGGGTAATTAGGGACACCTTTAAAAAGCATTTACAGTAGAACCTCAGTTAGCAAAGGCTCCATTTAACAAAAAAATTTATCAACAACAAAGAATTTTGCTTACATTCACCTTGCTTGGCAAAAAAAATTCACTTATCGAAAAGTTAGTGCATCATCGATCATCACAAAATTGTACATAGAATGCTATATATAGAATTGTGCACTGGGCATCATAGAATGAAAAGTAATTGACCTAAACTATGACTTATTTCTTCAAAACATATGATGGTTGTCACTAAAACATTATTTTCTGTTTCAGGCATGTTTTTCACAATCTTTTTTGTTATAGTGAAATCACTAGACTTGATTAAAATTGTGCAAAATTACAAACCCTCCTGTAAGCTTACAGATACAGAAGAAATGCTACATGGCTGCTGATATGAAGCTTGCAGTGGACATGGTCATTGTCAATGCTCAATAGCATGTCCGTGGATACAGTAATATCACATTAATAATATGGTAATTAATGAATATGGTAATATATCAATAAAGGAAAAACAAGTAAAAATCACAGAAAATGTCATTCATTTTACATCTACATCAATTCCACTGTGCAGAGAGTGGATGAATATTGCAAGATCTTTGGCGACGCTTCAGCAGCAAAATTTATGCCTTCATAAGATCTTGCCAACACATTTAGATTGAAATTCTTGCATTTAATATATTTGTCAGTCTTCAGCCAACTATTTAAAAAAAGTAAGGTTTCCGGTATGTTGGATGGATCAGGATGCAGTGAAACTTGTCCGGAAATCAGTTGCGATGAGTTCCCGCCAAAAAAATGTAAAAATCAAGTTTAGGATTACGTAGTTGCGGTCACATTAGAGCGGTCAGACTGCATTTAAGAAGTTCAATCTAAATGTGTCGGCAAGATTTTCTGAAGGCATAAATTTTGCTCCTGAAGCGTCGCCAAAGATCTTGCAATATTTATCCACTCTCTGCTCTGCACAGTGGGCAAGTGTCCCGGATTACCCCGTTCCCAGGGGTAAATTGGGATGGTTTTATTTTGCGTCTGGCACCTTACAAATAGCATATGGAATTTTTTTGAAGATGCCATTCAATAGCCCTCGCAAAGAGCTATAAAATGAGCCTAAACTTGTTTCTGAAATGTTTCATGGTAAGAAGTTGAGAACTGGAACTATTACAAAAAAAACTATCAAAACCGTCCCTGTTTACCCCATTTGACAGTACGGTGATTTTTTTATAGCCATTCATTTCTTAGCAGTTGGTATGTCCTAAATGTGTTGGAATATGGTGTGTTTACCGGGCTTTACCCTGATTCTAAAAAATCTATGGTTTGCCACCATGTGGTAAGGGATATAGTATCAGTATCAAAGTTGTTAGCAGCATTTTCTTATTAAAAATTACCTGGCAATGGATCTTGGAAATGGCCACTGTGCAGAGAGTGAACGAAAATTTAAAGACCTACGGCGACGCATTATCGGCAAAATTTGCGCCTTCAGAAGATCTTGCCAACACATTTGCATTGAGAATATAGCATTTTAAATATTCTCCAATCTTCAGCGACACACTTCAGACTCTTCAGTGGGTGTGGCAGAAGTAGCTGCGGCAGGCACCAGCAGCCCAGACCTCGGTAGCTAGACTCCTCCAACTGCTTAGACCGCTTAGTATGTTGTTGACCCGTGAGAGAGAAGGTTGTGCACTTGCAGATCTAATTCAGTCCAGAAATGAACGTAGATGTAACTTCGTGTGGAAACCACTGTGCAGAGAGTGGATGAATATTGCAAGATCTTTGGCGACGCTTCAGTAGCCAAATTTTCGCCTTCATAAGATCTTGCTGACACATTTAGATTGAAATTCTTGCATTTAATATATTTCTCAGTCTTCGGCCAACTATTTAGCAAAAAAGTAAGGTTTCCGGTACGTTGGATGGATTACGATGCAGCGAAGCTTGTCCGGAAATCAGTTGCAATGAGTTCCCGCAAAAAAAATTTAAACAAGGTTTTTTCAATTGCATTGTTTCAGTCTTATTAGAGCGGTCAGACTGCTTTATTACATGTTCAGTTGACACTTGCTGTACAATCAGACTGTTTTTAGGGTAAAATTAGTTATTTGGAGTAACACGTGCATGCAACCTTGTAAATA